AGTTATTTCTGTCCATGATTGGATAGAAAAAAAAAACGAACTACAAATACTCCAAGATTTTTTTTGACTTCATTAAAAAAATAAAATCGTTTTTGTCGGATGGAAACTTTTTGAGGTCAAAACCCCCCACCCCCAAACTAAAGGAAATAAGTTTTTTATTTGACATCGATCTTTTGACGTCGTCCCTTATTACTAATATCTCATCACAAATTAAATTCATGCAAACATCACATACTGTACGTCGGATGCCATAGGTGGTCTGAGGTGATTAATACAATACAGTGCTATTCATGAATTAGTTTCCAGCAAGTCTTGGGGCAGTAAGTTTACTGCAATTTACAGATAAATTGATCGCTAGTTTGTCAGGCATTTTGGTTTTGACTAAAGCAGATGACCTGAAATTTTAATATTACCCTTCATTCTGTCACCATCAAATAATAATATCTAAAAAAAAATAATATTTTATACAAGTTTATATGAGATTTTACAAGACTGTATGTAAAATTGTTTGCAATGGTCAAATCTGTTTTGTCAAAACCAAAGTTGTCAGTGAATTAGTAAGCAAGTTTTCTACCCCACTACTTCTGAGACTCACTGTTAATGTTATGCGTAGAAATTTCACACAGTCACACAGCCTCCGGATTATCAATACCCCTCAACACTGATCGCAATGACACAATACTATCACTGTAAAGCTAGCATTACCGAAAGTCAAGTGGCATATAGTGAGAGGAATGCTACATATATTCTCGTCCATTAAACAATTGCTCAAATATACATATTTCACTCACTTGTACAAGCAGACTATCTATTGGTCCACCAATTCCATGATAAAGTTTTGTAATTTTGATAAAAAACTTGTCATGTGGTGAAAGGAATTAAACTAGACCATATAAATAATTTTGAAGAACAAAGTCACTGGCCACTTTTCACAAAATAAACCAACATAATTTTTTTCATTAATTTTCCAAAACATCGCATATGTAGCGAAAAGGAAATATTGTCTATTTTGTTCGAAATTGAAAAAGAAATTGAAGAAAAATACATGAAAATGTGAAAAATGTTGCAACTTTGCGAAAAATTATGGCAAATGAGTAGAAAATTACTAGTACTGTATATCATTTCGGTTGTACCTGATAGAAACAACTGGATAATGGCGACAGCTCTACCAACAACTCGTTCTAACCTCTTCTCTTGGACGGCTGTTAATTCTTCATCCAACTGATGAAATACAGTATGTATTCGAATCGGCTGATAGGGAGATTCGTCTGCAGCATTTCTTTTAGTCCTATCTCTACCGTATTGCACTTTGCTGCTTGGAACCGCCATGGGCTGAACATCGTCATGAATGCATGGAGTTTTGTTTGGTTGTTGTATTAACTTCGGGCATTGCGCTGCCGTCGTAATGATAAACACAAGAAAACATCGTATCACTAATAGCATGTCTTTGAGTCGGACTTTGTTGACGACTGGTAATTTGCACCAATCCTATTGAAAAATGTCTTCACATGGGCGTATGTAACCCGCCGCATACACCTATGAGCTAGAGGGAGTACCTTTTTCAGTCCTGTTAGAACAAAATAACTGAAACACGAATGCACCCGACACAAAAAATCCAACTTCTACTACGGCTGATTGAGAACGCGATTGTTCGTGGCCATCGTGGACGTTCCAATGCCCATATTCCGCCCAACTATGTATAAAACATCATCATAAAAGAATGTAGACGACTGCAGGACATCTTATCTTGAAGGGCAAGAAGAACGTCAATCAATGTACTTTCAGCGGTTTGTCAACTTTCAGATTCACCGACGAGACGTTTTACCTGTGATTTTTTAATTATGTTCCGACATCCATTCCGTCCACATGTGATCGAAATCATCCAACGACGTCTAAAGGCTGTAACATTTGAGTAGTCTCCTACGCATGAAATGTTTCTCGTCTTAGTGGTCGACCTTGTCTCGATAACTTTCTCACCTTTGGAACGTCAATGTTTTTTGCAATTTGCATGTTATTTGCATCTAATTACATCTCGCTGATATGAAACGTTACGCACACTCTTATTGGTTGGAGGTGAGAGATTGTTTCTGATTGGCAAACATCAAGCCAGTGGAGTAATTTTTACAAACACATAAACAATATGGCTTACTTAGGTCGACTAAGATAATATTTCCATCATTTTTAAAAATTAAGACTGGTTTACCTAAGATATACTGCCATGTCAGGTAAAATGGTTTTGTATGAAAGTCTGGCAGCTGGAGGTGAAAAAACTGCTGTGATATTGGACATAGGGTCTGCTTACACCAAGTAAGTTAATCTTAAATTGAAATTTTTGTCTGACATGTCAATATCATTATCAATAATGACAATATACATTACCGGTAGTTTCATAGGCTGGTCAATGGTCATGATTAGAAAAATTTAGTGAGAACGTTGCTTGCTAAATCAGGCAAATACAGTGAGCGCAATTTTGCTCATCAAATATTTGAAGTGTTTTGAGATTTTAGCTGATCATGTCATTGCTTGTTATTATTATAAATATTCAATCAGAGTGAAAGGGATAAAGCGAGGGATGTTATAAAGTTGTTATAAAAATGGTTTTAAAAATGAAATTTTATAATTTAAAATGACTGGTAAAATTCACCAATTGACCAATCCAGAAATGATGTGGTGACATCATCACAAGTTCTAATAAATGAGTCGGTTCAACATCATCCAATCAACTAGCCCTTCATTTTGAAGTGGGTGGTTGTAGTTAAACAATAGTGACGTTCAGGCTACAAATCTTGTCATGTGCTGAGAGTCTGAACCGAAAGTTATGTGTGAATGGTTTGGACCTAGTCGGAACATGCCATAACAAAATTGATCTCGGTCCAAATTGAGAATCGAGACCAAAACTCAGCACATGCCAAGATTTGCTGCCTGAACGCTTGGCACGAACCAAAATCAGGCCCCCAGTGGTGATTTTACGAAATTTTATATTGATTTACCTGACATGGCGATAGGGGGAGGTGCAGCTAGCTTGTTGGGAAAGATACGATTGGATGATGTATATTTATGTACTTGTATATTCCCTGCTGACACTATTCTTGTCTATTCATTTTGACTATTTATGGAGGCTTTAAGCCGGGGATATGTTAAGATTGGTAGAATATGGTAGATATGAGATGTCTATGTAGTGTATTTTCTTAAGAATTTTTTAATAATAATAACAATTCCCATATTATCTCAGAGTTGGATTCGCAGCGGAACAAGCGCCACGAAGTATAATTCCTACTGAAGTTAAGAGACAGCGCACAGGAAAAGTTGTGAAGATTGACCTGTGCACTGACCCTGAGGAATTATATGGTATATTGATTGATTTCCTACACTTTCTGTATTTTAGGTAAGGTTCATTTTGAAATGGTAATTAATTATTATGGACGAAGTTATGAGTTAATTCTCGTACATTTTTTTTGTAAAATGCATGGTTGTTGTTCTTACTCGGATTATTACAGTCAAACCTGTGTTAACGGCCACCTGTGCAGAGCGGCCACCTGCTCATAGTGACCACCTTAGTACAGTCCCTTCGCAGTTTACACGTTAAAGACACTGGATATAGCGACCACCTGTCCAACGCGACCAGCGACCACTCTATTGTAGACCCATTCACACCTTAACCTTTGTATAACGACCACCAACATTTCCATCAGACGGTCTCAGCAAAAAGACAATAGCTACTTGCGAATTGCTAACAGGAAAGTGGCCACATGTTACGTTCAGATTACCGAGTACGCAATCTTTAGGGCTAATAGACAGGGGTGACCAATGCAACTTGGTTTGTGAAGTTGCGAAAAAGTAAAAAAAAAGTTGAATATCATCCGAATGTAACGTCTGGAGACTGGAAAGATTTTAACAACAAATTAAACAGTTTCATTCAAAGTTTGAAATGAAAAACTAGCTTGTTTCCGATCGGTACGATCGGTACTATACTATTGATCCCCAGCCGGCCAGCGGCACTTCTGTGGACTGTCTCGCACATGAAGAGCAAATTCCTCCCGTCTCGAAACAAAGAAAAATGAACCAGTTTTATTAAATGAGAGATGTTTTATTTACCTTGTCGATATGAAATATCCAAACAAAATAATAATACATTCGTTTATTTCGTTTTCATCGCGGGATTGCAAAATCCGACCTATTTTGGGCGCCATGTTGTTTGTTGTTGATCGTTATAAATTATGCTAATGAAGCTAGCGCATGGGCAAAACGTATTGTTACTGAGGGGTCATCTCAGGGTTATTCTCAACGAAAGATGTTTTCTATTTTGATCCTTTTTTTTATAAAAGGTAATATCAATAATTCGCAATCGAGAAAATTCGTTTCGTTTGGGCAGTTTTGACAGGTCGATGCTTGCAACAAACACAGTCTCGTGATAGAGGGACTGTGCAACAAATAACTGTAAAATTGCGTGTACGATCATCGTATTTCATTTCGGATTCGTTTGACTTTCTGATTCAACACCGAGAGTTGGAGCAATCGTTATGAGTTTGGTAAATTTTGTTTATTACCAATGCTTCTTCATTTTTAATGCTTGTTTGTTTGTTTGTTTTTTCAAACACGGCAACTTTTGCCTGTGCATTTTGTCACAGTGTACAATCGACAGTACTAACGATGGGATTGATTACCGACTGTGATGGAATATGTGTAAGAGACTGGGGGATAAGAGTGTGAAAGACCGAGCTGAAACGCCAATGCGGCCGATCGTTGACAATCGTTCTTATGCATTGAATACACCAATGAATCCATGGGCAGAATCACTTGGTTTCAGTGAATTACATGATATAATTTGTAGTAAAAAAGTAAAGCTGTGTAATTATCCAGATGAAAATGAGTGATTTTTATTAAAAAAGACCTATTCATTGTACAATGTGTAGGTTTGTTTTTATG